TAGTCCACGCCATTAAGGTCCCCAAGACACAGTGGCCTCCATCATTCTTAAATGGAAGAAGTTTGGAACCACCTAGACTCTTCCTAGAGCTGGCCGCCCGGCCAAACTGACCAATCGTGGGAGAAGGGCCTTGGTCAGGGAGGTGACCAAGAATCCGATGGTCACTCTGACAGAGCTCTAGAGTTCCTCTGTGGAGATGGGAGAACCTTCCAGAAGGACAACCATCTCTGCAGCACTCCACCAATCAGGCCTTTATGGTAGAGTGGCCAGACGGAAGCCACTCCTCAGTAAAAGGCACATGACAGCCCGCTAGGAGTTTGCCAAAAGGCACCTAAAGACTCTCAGACCATGAGAAACAAGATTCTCTGGTCTGATGAAACCAAGTTTGAACTATTTGGCCTGAATGCCAAGCATCACGTCTGGAGGAAACCTGGCACCATCCCTACGGTGAAGCATGGTGGTGGCAGCATCATGCTGTGGGGATGTTTTTCAGCGGCAGGGACTGGGAGACTAGTCAGGATCGAGGCAAAGATGAATGGAGCAAAGTACAGAGAGATCCTTGATGAAAACCCTGCTTCAAAGCGCTCAGGACCTCAGACTGGGGCGAAGGTTCACCTTCCAACAGGACAACGACCCTAAGCACACAGCCAAGACAACGCAGGAGTGGCTTCGGGACAAGTCTCTGAATGTCCTTGAGTGGCCCAGCCAGAGCCCGGACTTGAACCCGATCAAACATCTCTGGAGAGACCTGAAAATAGCTGTGCAGCAACGCTCCCCATCCAACCTAACAGAGCTTGAGAGGATCTGCAGAGAAGAATGGGAGAAACTCCCCAAATACAGGTGTGCCAAGCTTGTAGGGTCATACCCAAGAAGACTCGAGGCTGTAATCGCTGCCAAAGGTGCTTCAACAAAGGACTGAGTAAAGGGTCTGAATACTTACGTAAATGTGATATTTCAGTTTATTTTTTATAAATTTGTAAAAATGTCAACAAACCAGTTTTTGCTTTGTCATGATTGTGATAAGGTGGTGTTGAAGGAGTCAGGCGCAGGAGGGTAAATCACAGAATAACAGGCTTTAATAATAATAATAATATGCCATTTAGCAGACGCTTTTATCCAAAGCGACTTACAGTCATGCGTGCATACATTTGTGTATGGGTGGTCCCGGGGATCGAACCCACTACCTTGGCGTTACAAGCGCCGTGCTCTACCAGCTGAGCTACAGAGGTATAGATATAGCTGAGCTATAGAGCTTTAATCCGCAAAATACAGGATTACGCAGAACTGCGTCAAACACACTCCAGGGCACAAAACAGGCGCACTGGAAAATACAAGGCACACGGGAAATACTCCCGTCTAACAAAACACAGGAGCATCACTAACCTTCACAATAAACAATCACCCACAAGGACAAGGGGGCAGAGGGAACACTTATACACGGACTAATGATCACCCACAAGGACAAGGGGGCAGAGGGAACACTTATACACAGACTAATGATCACCCACAAGGACAAGGGGGCAGAGGGAACACTTATACACGGACTAATGATCACCCACAAGGACAAGGGGGGCAGAGGGAACACTTATACACGGACTAATGATCACCCACAAGGACAAGGGGGCAGAGGGAACACTTATACACAGACTAATGATCACCCACAAGGACAAGGGGGCAGAGGGAACACTTATACACAGACTAATGATCACCCACAAGGACAAGGGGGCAGAGGGAACACTTATACACAGGACTAATGATCACCCACAAGGACAAGGGGGCAGAGGGAACACTTATACACAGACTAATGATCACCCCACAAGGACAAGGGGGCAGAGGGAACACTTATACACGGACTAATGATCACCCACAAGGACAAGGGGGCAGAGGGAACACTTATACACAGACTAATGATCACCCACAAGGACAAGGGGGCAGAGGGAACACTTATACACAGACTAATGATCACCCACAAGGACAAGGGGGCAGAGGGAACACTTATACACGGACTAATGATCACCCACAAGGACAAGGGGGCAGAGGGAACACTTATACACGGACTAATGAGGGGATAGGAACCAGGTGTGTGTAATTGACAAGACAAGACAATCGTGATGATGATGATGATTGGGGCGGCAGTGGTTAGTATTCCGGTGACGACGAACGCCGAAGCCTGCCCGAACAAGGAGGGGAGGCAGCCTTGGCCGAAGTCGTGACAATTATGGGGTATTGTGTGTAGATTTGATGAGGGGGGGGGAAAAAAAACAATTGAATCCATTTTACAATAAGGCTGTAACGTACAGGGACGCAAACTGGTGAGGGCCCATTTTAGGCTGGATCCCTTCTTAATATAATAAAACGCCATTTAGCAGACGCTTCTATCCAAAGCGACTTACAGTCATGTGCGCATACATTTTTACGTATGGGTGGTCCCGGGGATCGAACCCACTACCCTGGCGTTACAAGCGCCGTGCTCTACCAATTGAGCTACAGAGGACCACATTCTTGAAATACAGGTTTTAACTGTTAAACTAATTAAACAACCAAGAATATAATCTACATGATCAGTCCCTGTGTGTAAAAATAAAAAGTGTTTAATGTGATCCAAACTCACAGCTAAAATGTTTAAAGAAATCAATCCAATGTTATTTGTCGCCTGGACTTTACTGCAAATGACACTCAAGTCTAGAGAAAAAAACAATACACTAATATTGCAGTTAGCCATGACAGCCTTTATAATAGAACGCTTGTGACCACACACATCTAAATATTACACTTGGGGAAAAAACAATCTTAAAGTAGAAATAGAATGAAACAAACAGTCATTCTATTTTTGCTCTATTATAGTGGCCACTATAGTAGACATCGATCAAGTGCACAAGGCGACGTGTGCAGAAATAACGTTCGCAGAGTAAAAAATAAAATAATCCCCCTTCACTCACACAAAAAGTCTTACAGTATGTCAAGTTCAACACAACAAAAGCAATATCGTTGGGCTACACTGCTCATTATGACATATCGTTGGGCTACACTGCTCATTATTACATATCGTTGGGCTACACTGCTCATTATTACATATCGTTGGGCTACACTGCTCATTATTACATATCGTTGGGCTACACTGCTCATTATTACATATCGTTGGGCTACACTGCTCATTATTACATATCGTTGGGCTACACTGCTCATTATTACATATCGTTGGGCTACGCTGCTCATTATTACATATCGTTGGGCTACGCTGCTCATTATTACATATCGTTGGGCTACACTGCTCATTATTACATATCGTTGGGCTACACTGCTCATTATTACATATCGTTGGGCTACACTGCTCATTATTACATATCGTTGGGCTACACTGCTCATTATTACATATCGTTGGGCTACACTGCTCATTATTACATATCGTTGGGCTACACTGCTCATTATTACATATCGTTGGGCTACACTGCTCATTATTACATATCGTTGGGCTACACTGCTCATTATTACATATCGTTGGGCTACACTGCTCATTATTACATATCGTTGGGCTACACTGCTCATTATGACATATCGTTGGGCTACACTGCTCATTATTACATATCGTTGGGCTACACTGCTCATTATTACATATCGTTGGGCTACACTGCTCATTATTACATATCGTTGGGCTACACTGCTCATTATTACATATCGTTGGGCTACACTGCTCATTATTACATATCGTTGGGCTACACTGGTCATTATGACATATCATTGGGCTACAACTGCTCATTATTACATATCGTTGGGCTACACTGCTCATTATTACATATCGTTGGGCTACACTGCTCATTATTACATATCGTTGGGCTACACTGCTCATTATTACATATCGTTGGGCTACACTGCTCATTATTACATATCGTTGGGCTACACTGCTCATTATTACATATCGTTGGGCTACACTGCTCATTATTACATATCGTTGGGCTACACTGCTCATTATTACATATCGTTGGGCTACACTGCTCATTATTACATATCGTTGGGCTACACTGCTCATTATTACATATCGTTGGGCTACACTGCTCATTATTACATATCGTTGGGCTACACTGCTCATTATTACATATCGTTGGGCTACACTGCTCATTATTACATATCGTTGGGCTACACTGCTCATTATGACATATCGTTGGGCTACACTGCTCATTATGACATATCGTTGGGCTACACTGCTCATTATTACATATCGTTGGGCTACACTGCTCATTATTACATATCGTTGGGCTACACTGCTCATTATTACATATCGTTGGGCTACACTGCTCATTATTACATATCGTTGGGCTACACTGCTCATTATTACATATCGTTGGGCTACACTGGTCATTATGACATATCATTGGGCTACACTGCTCATTATTACATATCGTTGGGCTACACTGCTCATTATTACATATCGTTGGGCTACACTGCTCATTATTACATATCGTTGGGCTACACTGCTCATTATTACATATCGTTGGGCTACACTGCTCATTATTACATATCGTTGGGCTACACTGCTCATTATTACATATCGTTGGGCTACACTGCTCATTATTACATATCGTTGGGCTACACTGCTCATTATTACATATCGTTGGGCTACGCTGCTCATTATTACATCGTACACTTTCTGCCTGTGGACATCTGTTCTACAATGTGTCAGCAGCAGAGCATGAGACCCTCTGTTGGCATAACTGATCTCTTTCAGAGAGTACGCCTGCCACACCCCTTTCAGAGAGTACGCCTGCCACACCCCTTTCAGAGAGTACGCCTGCCACACCCCTTTCAGAGAGTACGCCTGGCACACCCCTTTCAGAGAGTACGCCTGGCACACCCCTTTCAGAGAGTACGCCTGGCACACCCCTTTCAGAGAGTACGCCTGGCACACCCCTTTCAGAGAGTACGCCTGCCACACCCCTTTCAGAGAGTACGCCTGGCACACCCCTTTCAGAGAGTACGCCTGCCACACCCCTTTCAGAGAGTACGCCTGTCACACCCCTTTCAGAGAGTACGCCTGGCACACCCCTTTCAGAGAGTACGCCTGCCACACCCCTTTCAGAGAGTACGCCTGGCACACCCCTTTCAGAGAGTACGCCTGCCACACCCCTTTCAGAGAGTACGCCTGGCACACCCCTTTCAGAGAGTACGCCTGTCACACCCCTTTCAGAGAGTACGCCTGCCACACCCCTTTCAGAGAGTACGCCTGGCACACCCCTTTCAGAGAGTACGCCTGGCCACACCCCTTTCAGAGAGTACGCCTGCCACACCCCTTTCAGAGAGTACGCCTGCCACACCCCTTTCAGAGAGTACGCCTGCCACACCCCTTTCAGAGAGTACGCCTGCCACACCCCTTTCAGAGAGTACGCCTGGCACACCCCTTTCAGAGAGTACGCCTGCCACACCCCTTTCAGAGAGTACGCCTGCCACACCCCTTTCAGAGAGTACGCCTGGCACACCCCTTTCAGAGAGTACGCCTGCCATACCCCTTTCAGAGAGTACGCCTGCCACACCCCTTTCAGAGAGTACGCCTGCCACACCCCTTTCAGAGAGTACGCCTGGCAACACCCCTTTCAGAGAGTACGCCTGCCACACCCCTTTCAGAGAGTACGCCTGCCACACCCCTTTCAGAGAGTACGCCTGGCACACCCCTTTCAGAGAGTACGCCTGCCACACCCCTTTCAGAGAGTACGCCTGTCACACCCCTTTCAGAGAGTACGCCTGGCACACCCCTTTCAGAGAGTACGCCTGCCACACCCCTTTCAGAGAGTACGCCTGCCACACCCCTTTCAGAGAGTACGCCTGCCACACCCCTTTCAGAGAGTACGCCTGCCACACCCCCTTTCAGAGAGTACGCCTGCCACACCCCCTTTCAGAGAGTACGCCTGCCACACCCCCTTTCAGAGAGTACGCCTGCCACACCCCCTTTCAGAGAGTACGCCTGCCACACCCCCTTTCAGAGAGTACGCCTGCCACACCCCTTTCAGAGAGTACGCCTGCCACACCCCTTTCAGAGAGTACGCCTGCCACACCCCTTTCAGAGAGTACGCCTGGCACACCCCTTTCAGAGAGTACGCCTGCCACACCCCTTTCAGAGAGTACGCCTGCCACACCCCTTTCAGAGAGTACGCCTGGCACACCCCTTTCAGAGAGTACACCTGCCACACCCCTTTCAGAGAGTACGCCTGCCACACCCCTTTCAGAGAGTACGCCTGGCACACCCCTTTCAGAGAGTACGCCTGGCACACCCCTTTCAGAGAGTACGCCTGCCACACCCCTTTCAGAGAGTACGCCTGCCACACCCCTTTCAGAGAGTACGCCTGCCACACCCCTTTCAGAGAGTACGCCTGCCACACCCCTTTCAGAGAGTACGCCTGGCACACCCCTTTCAGAGAGTACGCCTGCCACACCCCTTTCAGAGAGTACACCTGCCACACCCCTTTCAGAGAGTACGCCTGCCACACCCCTTTCAGAGAGTACGCCTGCCACACCCCTTTCAGAGAGTACGCCTGCCACACCCCTTTCAGAGAGTACGCCTGCCACACCCCTTTCAGAGAGTACGCCTGGCACACCCCTTTCAGAGAGTACGCCTGGCACACCCCTTTCAGAGAGTACGCCTGGCACACCCCTTTCAGAGAGTACGCCTGGCACACCCCTTTCAGAGAGTACGCCTGCCACACCCCTTTCAGAGAGTACGCCTGCCACACCCCTTTCAGAGAGTACGCCTGTCACACCCCTTTCAGAGAGTACGCCTGGCACACCCCTTTCAGAGAGTACGCCTGCCACACCCCTTTCAGAGAGTACGCCTGGCACACCCCTTTCAGAGAGTACGCCTGCCACACCCCTTTCAGAGAGTACGCCTGGCACACCCCTTTCAGAGAGTACGCCTGCCACACCCCTTTCAGAGAGTACGCCTGCCACACCCCTTTCAGAGAGTAACGCCTGGCACACCCCTTTCAGAGAGTACGCCTGCCACACCCCTTTCAGAGAGTACGCCTGCCACACCCCTTTCAGAGAGTACGCCTGCCACACCCCTTTCAGAGAGTACGCCTGCCACACCCTTTCAGAGAGTACGCCTGGCACACCCCTTTCAGAGAGTACGCCTGGCACACCCCTTTCAGAGAGTACGCCTGCCACACCCCTTTCAGAGAGTACACTGCCACACCCCTTTCAGAGAGTACGCCCTGCCACACCCCTTTCAGAGAGTACGCCTGCCACACCCCTTTCAGAGAGTACGCCTGCCACACCCCTTTCAGAGAGTACGCCTGCACACCCCTTTCAGAGGAGTACGCCTGCCACACCCCTTTCAGAGAGTACGCCTGGCACACCCCTTTCAGAGAGTACGCCTGGCACACCCCTTTCAGAGAGTACGCCTGGCACACCCCTTTCAGAGAGTACGCCTGCCACACCCCTTTCAGAGAGTACGCCTGCCACACCCCTTTCAGAGAGTACGCCTTGCCAACACCCCCTTTCAGAGAGTACGCCTTCGACACACCCCTTTCAGAGAGTACGCCTGCCACACCCCTTTCAGAGAGTACGCCTGCCACACCCCTTTCAGAGAGTACGCCTGCCACACCCCTTTCAGAGGAGTACGCCTGCCACACCCCTTTCAGGAACCCCTTTCAGAGAGTACGCCTGGCACACCCCTTTCAGAGAGTACGCCTGCCACACCCCTTTCAGAGAGTACGCCTGGCACACCCCTTTCAGAGAGTACGCCTGCCACACCCCTTTCAGAGAGTACGCCTGGCATACCCCTTTCAGAGAGTACGCCTGGCACACCCCTTTCAGAGAGTACGCCTGCCACACCCCTTTCAGAGAGTACGCCTGCCACACCCCTTTCAGAGAGTACGCCTGGCACACCCCTTTCAGAGAGTACGCCTGCCACACCCCTTTCAGAGAGTACGCCTGCCACACCCCTTTCAGAGAGTACGCCTGCCACACCCTTTCAGAGAGTACGCCTGCCACACCCCTTTCAGAGAGTACGCCTGGCACACCCTTTCAGAGAGTACGCCTGTCACACCCCTTTCAGAGAGTACGCCTGCCACACCCCTTTCAGAGAGTACGCCTGCCACACCCCTTTCAGAGAGTACGCCTGCCACACCCCTTTCAGAGAGTACGCCTGGCACACCCCTTTCAGAGAGTACGCCTGCCACACCCCTTTCAGAGAGTACGCCTGTCACACCCCTTTCAGAGAGTACGCCTGCCACACCCCTTTCAGAGAGTACGCCTGCCATACCCCTTTCAGAGAGTACGCCTGCCACACCCCTTTCAGAGAGTACACCTGCCACACCCCTTTCAGAGAGTACGCCTGCCACACCCCTTTCAGAGAGTACGCCTGCCACACCCCTTTCAGAGAGTACGCCTGCCACACCCCTTTCAGAGAGTACGCCTACCACACCCCTTTCAGAGAGTACGCTTGCCACACCCCTTTCAGAGAGTACGCCTGCCACACCCCTTTCAGAGAGTACGCCTGGCACACCCCTTTCAGAGAGTACGCCTGGCACACCCCTTTCAGAGAGTACGCCTGGCACACCCCTTTCAGAGAGTACGCCTGGCACACCCCTTTCAGAGAGTACGCCTGCCACACCCCTTTCAGAGAGTACGCCTGCCACACCCCTTTCAGAGAGTACGCCTGCCATACCTCTTAAACCAGGCCCAGCTCTATAGTGGCATCCATCTTAAACCAGGCCCACCTCTATAGTGGCATCCATCTTAAACCAGGCCCGGCTCCAGCTACACTTGTTTAACAAGCAACGCCTCATTTCCACCTAATTCTCTCATTCTGAAAATTAACCACACAGAGGGAAAACATTAGTCCATAGATGATTAGTTCGTTAGCTAGCTAACTAGTTAACATTTCACACAGATTGCCAGGGTCCAGTGTGCAACTAGCTTGAGGAAGGGCAAGGAGTCGTATACCAGTTAATACTATAGCTAATTGGTTCCTCGCGCTAACGTTGCCTCATCTGATGCTATAACGTTAGCTAGCTAGCTGTCTGACTTTGTTAGCCAGCTTATTTTCACACCATAAACTCAATTATTTGATCAGCTAAGTTAGCTAATGTTGGACAGCGGAGTCACTCACCACCTTCCGGAGACATTTGAAACCCCACCTCTTTAAGGAATACCTGGGATAGGATAAAGTAATCCTTCTACCCCCCCCTTACCCCAACCCACCACCCCCCCCCAAAAAAAACAAAAAAACATTGTAAAGTGGTTATCCCACTGGCTATAAGGTGAATGCACCAATTTGTAAGTCGCTCTGGATAAGAGCGTCTGCTAAATGACGTAAATGTAAAATGTAAAATGTAAATGTAGAAATAGAATGAAACAAACAGGCATTCTATTTTTGCTCTATTATAGTGGCCACTATAGTAGACATCGATCAAGTGCACAAGGCGACGTGTGCAGAAATAACGTTCACTGAGTAAAAAATAAAATAATCCCCCTTCACTCACACAAAAAGTGTTACAGTATGTCAAGTTCAACACAACAAAAGCAATATCGTTGGGCTACACTGCTCATTATTACATATCGTTGGGCTACACTGCTCATTATTACATATCGTTGGGCTACACTGCTCATTATTACATATCGTTGGGCTACACTGCTCATTATTACATATCGTTGGGCTACACTGCTCATTATTACATATCGTTGGGCTACACTGCTCATTATTACATATCGTTGGGCTACACTGCTCATTATTACATATCGTTGGGCTACACTGCTCATTATACATATCCGTTGGGCTACACTGCTCATATTACATATCGTTGGGCTACACTGCTCATTATTACATATCGTTGGGCTACACTGCTCATTATTACATATCGTTGGGCTACACTGCTCATTATTACATATCGTTGGGCTACACTGCTCATTATTACATCGTACACTTTCTGCCTGTGGACATCTGTTCTACAATGTGCCAGCAGCAGAGCATGAGACCCTCTGTTGGCATAACTGATCTCTTTCAGAGAGTACGCCTGGCATACCCTTTCAGAGAGTACGCCTGCCACACCCCTTTCGAGAGTACGCCTGGCACACCCCTTTCAGAGAGTACGCCTGCCACACCCCTTTCAGAGAGTACGCCTGGCACACCCCTTTCAGAGAGTACGCCTGGCACACCCCTTTCAGAGAGTACGCCTGCCACACCCCTTTCAGAGAGTACGCCTGCCACACCCCTTTCAGAGAGTACGCCTGGCACACCCCTTTCAGAGAGTACGCCTGCCACACCCCTTTCAGAGAGTACGCCTGTCACACCCCTTTCAGAGAGTACGCCTGGCACACCCCTTTCAGAGAGTACGCCTGCCACACCCCTTTCAGAGAGTACGCCTGCCACACCCCTTTCAGAGAGTACGCCTGCCACACCCCTTTCAGAGAGTACGCCTGCCACACCCCTTTCAGAGAGTACGCCTGCCACACCCCTTTCAGAGAGTACGCCTGGCACACCCCTTTCAGAGAGTACGCCTGCCACACCCCTTTCAGAGAGTACGCCTGCCACACCCCTTTCAGAGAGTACGCCTGGCACACCCCTTTCAGAGAGTACGCCTGCCATACCCCTTTCAGAGAGTACGCCTGCCACACCCCTTTCAGAGAGTACGCCTGCCACACCCCTTTCAGAGAGTACGCCTGGCACACCCCTTTCAGAGAGTACGCCTGCCACACCCCTTTCAGAGAGTACGCCTGCCACACCCCTTTCAGAGAGTACGCCTGCCACACCCCTTTCAGAGAGTACGCCTGGCATACCCCTTTCTATCCACCATATTGATAAAGTGAGAAAGAGGGAAAGTGTGCGGTGTTCCTTTCACCTCTATAGTGGCATCCATCTTAAACCAGGCCCACCTCTATAGTGGCATCCATCTTAAACCAGGCCCAGCTCTATAGTGGCATCCATCTTAAACCAGGCCCACCTCTATAGTGGCATCCATCTTAAACCAGGCCCAGCTCTATAGTGGCATCCATCTTAAACCAGGCCCGGCTCTATAGTGGCATCCATCTTAAACCAGGCCCGGCTCTATAGTGGCATCCATCTTAAACCAGGCCCGGCTCTATAGTGGCATCCATCTTAAACCAGGCCCGGCTCTATAGTGGCATCCATCTTAAACCAGGCCCGGCTCTATAGTGGCATCCATCTTAAACCAGGCCCGGCTCTATAGTGGCATCCATCTTAAACCAGGCACACCTCTATAGTGGCATCCATCTTAAACCAGGCCCGGCTCCAGCTACACTTCATCCCTGAATCCACTTGTTTAACAAGCAACGCCTCATTTCCACCTAATTCTCTCATTCTGAAAATTAACCACACAGAGGGAAAACATTAGTCCATAGATGATTAGTTCGTTAGCTAGCTAACTAGTTAACATTTCACACAGATTGCCAGGGTCCAGTGTGCAACTAGCTTGAGGAAGGGCAAGGAGTCGTATACCAGTTAATACTATAGCTAATTGGTTCCTCGCGCTAACGTTGCCTCATCTGATGCTATAACGTTAGCTAGCTAGCTGTCTGACTTTGTTAGCCAGCTTATTTTCACACCATAAACTCAATTATTTGATCAGCTAAGTCAGCTAATGTTGCTCAACCATTCTCTGGCTAGCTAACGGAGAACTCGATCCAGCCACTGTAGCAAGATACTTAACAACGCTAACAATTCTTGTTCCACCACACTTGCTCCCTCACCTCAAACTTTCCAAATGCCAGTTGTTTTTCAGTTACAGCTCACGATGTACGCTTCATCACCTTTTCACCTCCGTCTCCAGACTTCTCACCTACCTCTCCGTTGTCGTTCAGGGGACGCACTGCTACTGTAACTGCTACTGTAACTTCTACTGTAACTTCTACTGTAACTGCTACTGTAACTGCTGCTGTAACTGCTACTGTAACTGCTGCTGTAACTGCTGCTGTAACTGCTACTGTAACTGCTGCTGTAACTGCTGCTGTAACTGCTACTGTAACTGCTACTGTAACTACTACTGTAACTGCTGCTGTAACTGCTGCTGTAACTGCTACTGTAACTGCTACTTCTACTGCAACTTCTACTGTAACTTCTACTGTAACTGCTGCTGTAACTACTACTGTAACTGTAACTGCTACTGTAACTGCTGCTGTAACTACTACTGTAACTGCTGCTGTAACTGCTACTGTAACTGTAACTGCTACTGTAACTGCTGCTGTAACTGCTACTGTAACTACTACTGTAACTGCTACTGTAACTGCTGCTGTAACTGCTGCTGTAACTGCTACTGTAACTGCTACTGTAACTGCTACTGTAACTGCTGCTGTAACTACTACTGTAACTGTAACTGTAACTACTACTGTAACTGCTGCTGTAACTGCTGCTGTAACTGCTACTGTAACTGCTACTGTAACTGCTGCTGTAACTGCTACTGTAACTGCTGCTGTAACTGCTGCTGTAATGCTACTGTAACTGCTGCTGTAACTGCTACTGTAAATGCTACTGTAACTGCTACTGTAACTGCTACTGTAACTGCTGCTGTAACTACTACTGTAACTGTAACTGTAACTACTACTGTAACTGCTGCTGTAACTGCTGCTGTAACTGCTGCTGTAACTGCTGCTGTAACTGCTGCTGTAACTACTACTGTAACTGTAACTGTAACTACTACTGTAACTGCTGCTGTAACTGCTGCTGTAACTGCTACTGTAACTGCTACTGTAACTGCTGCTGTAACTGCTGCTGTAACTGCTGCTGTAACTGCTACTGTAACTGCTGCTGTAACTGCTACTGTAACTGTAACTGCTACTGTAACTGCTGCTGTAACTGCTACTGTAACTGCTGCTGTAACTGCTACTGTAACTGCTACTGTAACTGCTACTCCTACTGTAACTGCTACTGTAACTGCTACTGTAACTTCTACTGTAATGCTACTGTATATGCTACTGTAACTGCTACTGTAACTGCTGCTGTAACTGCTGCTGTAACTGCTACTGTAACTGCTACTGTAACTGCTGCTGTAACTACTACTGTAACTGTAACTGTAACTGCTGCTGTAACTGCTACTGTAACTGCTGCTGTAACTACTACTGTAACTGTAACTGTAACTGCTGCTGTAACTGCTACTGTAACTGCTACTGTAACTGCTACTGTAACTGCTACTGTAACTGCTACTGTAACTGCTGCTGTAACTGCTGCTGTAACTGCTACTGTAACTGCTGCTGTAACTGCTGCTGTAACTGCTACTGTAACTGCTGCTGTAACTTCTACTGTAACTTCTACTGTAATGCTACTGTAACTGCTACTGTAACTGCTACTGTAACTGCTACTGTAACTGCTACTTCTACTGTAACTGCTGCTGTAACTGCTGCTAACTGCCAAACTGCTTTTCCACTCTCCACGGTCTTTCCAGAGGGTCGTGCTGATGCTGCAACTAGCAGGTTGGTTGTCTCTTCTCTCTTCAGTCATGTGCTGCTTTCTGTTGTTATGTGAAAGACTGGCTGAGCCCAGGCTCCAGCCTTGGGCATCTTGGGGGGTTCATGCAGTGTAGCTACATGATGCTATCATTAGATTCCTTTGAGTACAAAGTCAGAATACAGAATATGTTAGCCAGCTAGCTAGGTAGCTGTGTTAGCTAGCTTAAACATTGAACACACTAAGGTTAGCAACTAACATAGCTAGCAGGCAACA